AAGTGGTTGAGTCACCATCCCTGGAGGTATTTAAAAGACGTGTAGATGAGGCGCTTAGGGACATGGTTTAGTGGGCATGGTGGTGTTGGGTTAACGGTTGGACTTGATGATCTTAGAGGTCTTTTCCAACCTTAATGATTCTATGGTTCTATGGTTCTATGATATTTTGGATTAAATGTGTTATTGATGTAACAATTGCTTTGTCTGGGAACTGGCAGACAGTAGTGGTGGCCTGGAAGTGAAGATACCTGAGCAGTCTCCCCTGCGTGTTGTCCTGGGAAGCTCCCTGAACATCCCCTGTTACTTCAACATCCCAGAGGAACAGGACACCAGTGCTCTGCTGACCCCACGGATCAAATGGAGCAAACTCTCAAATGGGACCGAAGTTGTCTTGCTAGTGGCCACCGGTGGGAAAATCCGTCTCAACACCGAGTACAGGGAGGCGATCTCTTTGCCCAATTACCCCGCCATCCCCACCGATGCCACCTTGGAAATCAAGGCGCTGAGATCCAACCACACTGGGATTTATCGCTGTGAAGTGATGTACGGGATTGAGGACAGACAAGACACAATAGAGATCCTAGTGAAAGGTGAGATCCTGCCCTTGCTCCTTCCTCTCAAGGTCTTGCTGCCTGGCCTGGGCAGCAGGGAAGAAGAAATATATGGGCAGAGGAGGTACTGCTCTCCCCGTAGGCATAAACCCTTTCGGTCAGATCACAGATAAGGCCCTGGGCAGATGAGCAGAAGTCATGGGCCAGGCATTTACTTCAGCAGGCTAGGACCAGACTAAACAAATGAGTAAAATGACTTACGGTAGAATATACGGCAATAAAATTACTCTTCTGGCAGAAGGTGAGTTGCAGAGACAGCAAGACAACATCCTTGGCAGGAGGTGGTACTGGATACACTGGGCTGTTGCTCAGAACGGTGAAGCTGGATGTTATAAGACCTTTTATTTCTTCCAAACATTTTAGGAGATGGGATGCCCTCAGCTGGAGAATCAGTCTGTTCTGGAAAAACTTTTCCCATAGTTTTGCAAAGCCCACCCTAGTAAGAGGTGGATAAAATAACGAAAGTTAAGTTTCCTACAATCCTTATCTTTATCATGGTTTTTGCTTTCCGTGTAGGTCAGTGAAACAGTTTCCCCTACAACAGTTAACCAGAGGATCTCTGCTGGTCGCAGACACTGGAGTGTATATATGACAGTGGAGGCTGGGAGCCCCCTCATTGCCTCCTGGTGAATTTTCCACTTAATGATCTGCTCATGTCAGACCAGAGTGTACAGATAGCCATCCTTTGTAAAGATCCCTGTTCATCAAAAAATACAACTTAGATATGTTTGCAGCAGATCTGGAGGTTTCAAGTGGATTTGCCTCGTTTCCTGGGTGTACGGTGGGTGACACTCTGCACCCTTGGTCCTGAGCAAGACCTTGAGGTGTTGCAGCTTTCAAACCGGCATAGCAGCACGGTCCCTGCTCTGCCCCACAGGCTGGTTTCTGAACTATGCATTTAAAACACTGCACAGAGCTGTATCAGGAAAGTATTAAGTCCTTCTCACAGCGACACAGCTCTGTGTTCTGGGCAATGGGTTTCCTCCCAGTGTTTACACTACTATTCAGGTACTGGCTTTTAACGCACCATGACATTGTTACAGCATCATGGGAGAGCAGTTGCTGTCCTAGGTCACCAATGTGCTCCACAAGGTCCTGTGAAAGGAGCCCATCAAGTCATCCTTGGCTTGAGATGCTCAAATGCAGACAATCAGCATAAATAGTTCGTTGCTTCTAGTTGACATGTAGCATTTGTTTTTTTGAATCCCTAACTTCTTTGGAAGGAAAGGGGCTGGTTCCTCTCCAGCAGATGTGTGAGTGATGGCCATTGTGTTTTCCAGGCATCGTATTCCACTACAGAGCAATCTCCACAAGGTACACCTTGAACTTCGAGAAAGCAAAGCAGGCCTGTATCCAGAACAGCGCTGTCATTGCTACTCCCGAGCAGCTGCAAGCTGCCTACGAGGATGGGTACGAGCAGTGTGATGCTGGCTGGCTGGCTGATCAGACTGTCAGGTAATGAACGGTGGCGGGGGAAGGAAAGCCCCAGCAGGGTCGTTAGGGAAGGACTTCTGTAATGAAGCCACCCACTGAAAATGTTTGAGAAACAGTTGCTAAATAGCAGCTGTTGTAATTGCTGGTGTGCAGAGGGTGGTGGGTTGCAAGCCATTCTCTGCCAGGGGGGAATCTATAGCAGGAAAGCAGAGTGACCACTGTCCTCCTCAGCTGGTGGTGACAGCTGAGTGGACAATGGCTTAATCCTGATCTTTCATCCTCCGTGAACAAAACAGATGCTATGCCAAGACCCATGAGTGTGGCTCAACTGTACCAAGCTGTGCATCTCCCACTGGGGAGGCACCTTGGCCTCGTGCTCCCAGGGACCTGCTGTGCTCAGGACCATCAGAGGGAGGGCAGGACAGCAGATCATCCTTCCCCTTCCCCATAACCCAGGAAAAGCCATAAATCACCACACTGCGCAGTGCTCCACAGCTCTCTCCCAGCCTCACTGGGTCCTGCCCCCCCACTCCATACGCACCCTCTCTCCCCCAGGTACCCCATCCACTGGCCCCGGGAGCGCTGCTACGGCGACAAGGATGAATTTCCTGGAGTGAGAACCTATGGTGTCCGTGAGCCAGATGAAACCTATGACGTTTACTGCTATGCAGAGCAAATGCAAGGTGATTTAGGGCTTTTATTGTTACTAGACACAGAAGCAGCCAAAGCTCTGATCATGCCTAGACTGGACAACAGTAAATACAGAGGCAAAGGGCCTAGAGGCAAGACAGGTTAAAGATGGAAAAGCACATACCCCAGCAAGGCCAGATGTTCTCTACATTCTCTTTGTTAGGCCTTGGACAATTTCAACGTCAAATGACTACAGAGGGTGTAGTGGAGTCCGTCTAATCTCCACCAGAGTCCATGCCATCCTGCATGTCTCTGGTCACCCATCTGAGGGTGTGACATTCAGAGGTGTCCATCACCCATGCTTATGACAGGGATCCATTGAAATATCCAGCACATCAGAACTGACATTGTCCTTTATCTTCCTCTTGCCCTGTGGCTCCAGCTGGTTTGGTATGTTTTGCTCCAGTCTGTATTCAGTCTGTAAGACTCCCTTTTTTCTGGTCTTTATAGACAGTCACCAACATGGGGTTGCAGTTCAGCTGTAATACACAGGACTTTTCATCTTATCAAGGCTCTCAGGAGTGGGAAGGGGAAAAGAGGGGAATTGGGATTAAATTCTACAGCTAATTCCTGTGCTAATGGATGGTGTGATTGCAGGTAAAGTCTTCTATGCCACCGCCCCTGAGAAGTTCACCTTCCAAGAAGCTTTCGACAAATGCCGCAGTTTGGGAGCCCGTTTGGCCACCACAGGAGAGCTGTACTTGGCCTGGAAGGACGGCATGGACATGTGCAGCGCAGGCTGGCTGGCCGATCGCAGTGTCCGCTACCCCATTTCCAGAGCACGGCCCAACTGTGGAGGAAACCTGGTGGGCGTGCGGACAGTGTACCTGTACGTCAACCAAACGGGGTACCCTCACCCCGACTCTCGCTACGATGCCATCTGCTACAGTGGTGAGTGCTTCGGAGCTGTAGGACTAAGCAATGTGTCTTTACGCATCAGCAAGCAGGAGCTCCCTGGTCAGAGCTAACCTCTTGCTTCTTTTTTTTCTTTTTTAAAAAAGCAAGGGGGAAAGCAGGTTTGGCAAAGGACTTAGTCCCCTGTTCTTGTTCAGGTAGGAAGCAGAGTTCAGAAAGAGCACAGATGCCTGCCCTGTACACGAGGGCTCTGAAGAGGTGGGTGTAACACAGCCCTCTTCTCTCCAGTCCTCCCACACCTTCCAGCTTTGGTAGCTCTCCAGGAGACACGGAGCAGAGCTCAGGTCCTTCCCGTACAAGACTTTGAATGCTGAAGATGGAAGAGAAGGAAAAAGAGAACAGATCTGACCCTGAAGATGTGTACAGTGCTTTGCTGTGGTACAGATACATGCCTGAGTTTCCATACCGGGATAAATAAGAGACTGCAGCAGTCTCTGGCACTCAGAAATGGGGCAAAATTGCACCTAGGAGGTGGAGGGCGTCCCAGCTACTCCCCCTTTCTTCTGAGTGTACTCTTCTCCCTGCAGCAAGAAGGGGGCAAAGTACAGTGGTATATGGTCTATTCAGGGCAACCAGAGGCTAACATTCAAATAGGATTGCCATCTTTAAAAAAATAGTAACAATATTTTAAAATATGTTTTGAAACTCCTTTGATACAGACCTATTGTGCCTAGATGCATGCATGATCAGTGTGTCAGGAGGCCTAAAACCTCCCAGGCCCCTTGGAGTTATCCAGCTACCTGGCCAAGCTAAAGACTGGTCCACCAAGCCACAGCCTTCTGGTTATCTCAGAGTATGCATCTGAAACTGCTGAGTGCAGCTAGTCCTTGTCTGAGCACCTCTATCTAATTGCCTGAATCCCTTGAGGTCTGAGAGGTACTGGCTAAAATGAACTAGCAGGAAAATGGAGTTGGAAATAAATAGAGCAGGGAAAGCAGTATTAGGGGAAAAGCCTGACAGTGTCTCATTATCTCTCCCTCCCCAGCCGAGACCTGCCTTGCTGCATATCCAAGGTGTCCCATCCCTCCCTCACCTGCCCCGTTCTGGTTTATGCTGCTCTTTAAACCATCGTCCTTCCTGTAGGCTGACCTGCTCAGTGGCATGTTAAGCACGTTCTCCTACAGCCAAGGGATGTGACTTGAGCAGAAAAGTGGTTTGGGAGGGGAAAGGTGGGAGTTGTTTGAAAGTATTTGGTACAGCGAGTGGCCTTGGCTGCCCCGGTGATGGGGTTAGCATGCTTATATGTGGTGAGCTCTTAAGTAGTCGCCTGGGCAGAGCAGAAGGAGACAGTGATCCTGGTGAGACTTCATGCACTGAGTGTGAGGATCCAGTTGTCTTTCTCCCACGGCTCAGGCCTGCTGTGGAGGTTATCCAAGCTCCCCCACTTCCCTACCGCCACCTTAAATTCCTTGCAGCAGGCACTAGAGGTCAGTGCAGACTTGGATATGGGCAAGGTGTTCCCGGGAAGGAGAGCTGGGAGGAGAGCAGGGAAAGTCCTCTCTGATTTACCCGCTGTGGTACCCTTCGTGCTGGGATGTTGTAGAGAGCCATTGTGGAGGAAGGAAAACCATTTCTTTTACCAGACCGTCATGATTTCCCTGCTCCTCTCAGAGCCAGCAAACACCCAGCTTCTTCTCGGAGGCAGCACCAGCGCAGTACACCTTGCTAGACTGACCATGTCCTCTCTGATTGCTCTTTGTCTCCTG